AAATTATACAAAAATCATTTTCCATCAAATGATTACCTCTCCCTAAAGCAACATAACGTGGCCCAATGCAAATGGAAGTGTTGGTTGGAGAGTGCAAATGGCGAGTGTTCCTAGCACTGCTCTTAGGAGAGATCTTATCTCTTTCAACCTCTCTAATTGTCCTTTCCTTTTTCCTCACATGGGGTCCAACATGTTTTCAATTGGAAAAGATAGGAAGAAAGTGAAATATAATTAGCATGCAGTTGGCAGTAACAGTCATGGGGACCATGCTAGCTATCCATCAATGAAATTTTACATCTATTTCCTACTAAGTGGGATTAATCAGAAACCCAATAATTAAGGAATCTCTTGAACAGTTTGTAGTGCTGCTTTTGTTTGTTGCACCCATTGCATACCCCATATGGGCCATATCAATGTCTAGTTTTCTTATACGGATTTGGAATTTGAGTATTCCACACGAATATTCAAAAACTTTTGTAATCTTACTTTTCTTACATTTTACCCACCCAATTGTCATATTCATTCAAAAGTTTCTTATGTCTCACTTCTGTTGTAGTATTAGTTCAATTGTTTCATATTTCGATCAACATCAAGCTAATCAGAAGATTAAATTCGGTAATCAATAAACAAATTCATGATTTAAAGTTTTGGCGTTAGTATATAAAATTTTTTTTTTTTGGAATAATAGTACATTAAAAAAATTTTAATTTATTTAGATGTGCTAAGCTCCTGACCTAAAAAAAAAGAAAAAAAGAAAAAGAAAGGGATAAACCTATATTACATGGATTTAGAAATTAGAATTAAGTGATTGACATTTGGGGTGGGTATTAGATGGAAATTGGAAAACCTGTGTTCTGAGTATTGGACCAGATTAAGCTGTAGTTCGAATAAAATGGGCAGAGAACGACCCAATAGACCTTCCTGGTTACGAGCCCAATAGGACCCATAAATTTAAAATACTGATGCTGCCACTGCTTTCTTTATGTTCTTCTGCTGGTCCATGTCTTCTGCAGGTCTTGGATATGGAGGCAAACGAGGCTTGACCCAGCTGATGAGATCTATATCGAAGTTGAGCTTAGAAGATTGACGTGGTTGGAGCAACACTTTAAGGAGCTTGGCAATGCTGGTCCTGCACTCTTAGTGGATGAACCTGCGGGTTCTATCAATGTTTTTATTACTGTCCTCTCTCACGAAAAGATGCAAAGAAGAATATTAAATTTATACTTTTTTTTATTTGAAGATATTAATTTTGTCAATTTTTAAATAACAATATCAATTTTTAACTTTTTTTTATTTAAAAATTCGTTCTCCACATTAGCATAAATATACAATGAATATTTAATTAAAAAAATTTAAAAATTAATATTCTTAAATAGAAAAAAATTCTCCACGTTAGCATAAATATCCAATGAATACTTAAATACAAATAATTTAAAAGTTGATATTCTTAAATAGAAAAAAGTTGAAAGTTGAAAGTTGACATTCTTATTTAGAAACTGACAAAATTTACATCATTAAATAAAAAAAAAGTACAAAATTAGTATTCTTATTTGAACCTTTTCTCCAGTCAATCCTCAATTCTCAACTCCTTGGAAATTTGTGTAGACTTATGGATGATTGAGACAAAAGGATTCACCATCTTTGTCTTTCATTGGCAATGTGTTGCTTGATGCATTGGAGTGTTGGATGCAGCATCAAAGCATTAAGGCAAGAGAGAGAGTACTTGGTGTGAAAATTAACATGTAGTTTTAATGTAAAACTTGCATCTAATGTAAAATTAATTAACAAAAGATGAAGTAGTTTTTTTTATATTTAACTCACATTCTTCTTTGTTATATCATCAATATAGAATTTTTTCACTTAACACACTCCTCACACGTAAACTTATTATTAACATCAAATCTTATCAAATGGTTTAATACATCTTCTTATATGCAGAGCCACCATCAACTTCAAATCCTATATAGGTGGGCTAACAACAAATTTCCAAGAAACAAAGTTTAGACTTTAACACCATATGAAAATTGAATATATGGGATGTAAGATTTTTCCACATAACACTTGGCCAAGAGGGTGAGTTCAAAATTGATGGTAGAGGAAGAGAGATTCTCTATTTGAAATGGGAAGTTCCACTTGTAGAAAGCAGAGAAGATTGCAATTAGTCAACAAATTATGGACATACCCTCTTAACATGCCACATGTTAAAGAGGGTGCTAAAATAGTGGCTAAACTTGTTGGGTTTTGTGAATTCAGTGAGCATGTTAGCAAGGAGATGTTTGAACTAAATTTTGCCAACCCTTCCACAATAACAAATCATGGATGGGTTGGAATTTGATATCAAATCTCTTGCATTTGTAAACAAGTGGTGTAACTTTTGTTACATTCGCATGATTCTTTGATTCTTCCTTGTAAATTACCTCCCAATGTATGACATGTGATAATAATTTTGAATTCATCTCACTTATAGATTTTTTTTACCTAATGCAAACTATTATTGTCAATTAGTTAAGTAATTCAATAGGAATCTCATTTTACTAAAAATAAGAGATTTTTGAATTCAAATTATATAACATATGAGTATGATAAGGTAATGGATGAAAAAGGGTTTTCTGTCATTGTGCAACTAAAAAAAAAAAATACAAACCTCCCTTTTTATATCTTCTCCTCTCTAATAGACCATATAATTTTATTTCTTCATAGATAATACTCTTTTCAATACCCTCATTGTAATAGTTTGAATCTATGCTCTCCTTCCATGTCTCCCTTCCCTTACTCTAATATGTCAAAACAAAAACAAAGAAAATGAGTCCTGATTGAAATTAATGCATCCAAACACAAGGACGTAAAAAGGTATTTCTGTCATTTTGTCTTCTAGTGAAAATCCCTTTTCAAGTCTTGGTATTTTAACAATTTATATATTAATCTCCTAAATAATTTCTTAGCGAATTAAATTCCTTATTTTTTTTTTTCAAACAAGTTATTAAGTGGCAGACTCGAAACCTGCCCATGAAAGAGGAATAATGCACCTCAAACTGATAGGATGCCAATTAACCTGAAGGATCAGGTGCAATTAAGTTCCTTAATTGTTCTACATGAGTCCAGAATATGTTATTTTAGCACTCAAATAACATCTTTTTCTTATATACTCAATGTGAATTGTAATTGATAAATATAATTGAATCTATATAATATATATCGAAAAAGATACATGACCAAAAAAAATATAGTTTTGAGACTTAAGTGATAAATTACAAAAATTTGAGGACTGAAAGTTGAAATTTGACTGCAATGCTAGACAAGGGATGCTTTTGTCTTTTCGTTTATATCCCCATCCCTGAAGAGCAAAGCCAAGACTTTACCCTAATTTTGAGACCCGACTGTTGTATCTTGCAATTCCTCGAGTGCAGCAGCCGAACTTGCAACTTTGAAGCGAAAGTTTTCTCCTTTCTGGAACTTCGAACAGGCAGAAGAAGTGTTACCCATTTAAGAGTATATCGAGCAAAGACCACCCAGGAAGTTTCCGGACTCACGAAACAGAATGGCTCAAAAACCCCAGCAACAGCAGCAACAGAACGTCGCTTACACTGTCGAGCAGTTGGTCGCCGTCAATCCGTACAATCCTGACATTTTGCCCGATCTCGAGAACTACGTCAACGAGCAGGTGTCTTTCTCTCTAACATTAGTTTTGTAATTTTGTCAATTTCCAATGTCTTTCTGGTGTGTCGTCCTCTGTGAAGCAGAAAATTTGATATTTCCGATTGGTTTTTGATAAAGATGATTGCTTTGAATGGGTTTATGTTATGTTTTGAAAAATTTTATTCTGGGTTGGTCGTGTTTTTGCTACAGAGAATGAAATTGAAATCAATAAGAGGCAAATCTGTTCCTTGTTGGATCTTTTATTTAGAATTGTATTCAATTTAATTATAGGTAATCATCTTTGACTGAAACATACAGAAATTTACGGGTGATTTTATTCATACCAGGTCTCATCACAGACTTACAGTCTGAATGCTAATCTTTGCCTACTTCGCCTCTACCAGGTAATTATTTTTATGGGGATGTGACTAGGCTTGGTATTCTTTTGTATTGATGTGTGCATGGAACAAAGTTATTGTTTGGTTTAATTGTTTACTTCAGGACCCATTTTTGGGCATGTTACGTTTGGAGTTTCAAGTTTAGAATGATAAAGAAAAGAAGGGGATGGGGGGCAGGGAGAAGGAAAGATTGTTTTCCTTTAACAATGTAAGTGCTTCTTAAATTATTAACATAATGTTTTGTTTTGTGTTTTTTCCCCAGTTTGAGCCAGAGCGTATGAGCACCCAGATTGTGGCCCGCATTTTGGTCAAGGTCTGCTTAAGTCCTTTTTTCAGAGAACGTAAAATATGGTGCATTTTATTGGAATCTACTGTGTTTCTAATGCCTGTTTTCTTCTTTGTTATCCTTTCTATGCAGGCCCTGATGGCAATGCCGGCTCCTGATTTCAGTCTCTGTCTCTTTTTAATCCCAGAACGAGTGGTATTATTCTGCTTTTTTGTTTTTTCCTCCTAAAATACAAGTTCCAATGCATTTAGGCATCAGATTTTAAGCTTTGCTTGAATGACAATGTATAAACACCAAGACACATTGGCACACGTGTATGGTTGAGAAATGGAATCATGCCATGCCATCAGTTTAATAGTTGCAAAATATTTTCTTGTGATGCTTCTTTCTCCTCATTCATCTAGAACTAAAAAAAAAAACCTTTTGCCCAATATTTTGCTCAATTTCATTATAATGTAATACTTTTCTATTTGTGATATCAGCAAATGGAGGAACAATTCAAGACACTGATTGTTCTCTCACACTATCTGGAGGTACATATTTCCCTGATACTCAATTCTTAAATCCAATGAAGTACTTGATTTCTTCACACATAGTGCATCTGCAGACAGGAAGATTCCGTCAGTTCTGGGATGAAGCAGCTAAGAGTCGCCATATAGTTGAAGCTGTGCCAGGTAATGATAGATTACGATGTTACAAGTCTTTTCTGTGCTTTTCAGTTTATTGTTATGGTGCCAGTCTATTGTTCAGTTGAACGGATGAACACTACTGCCCAAGGCCTAATTCTTAGGAGTTATAACTGTGAATCTCATATGAATTATAATAAATTACACATTACTGATGCCTTGACTAACAGGGTGTTCTTCTGTAAAGTTTATATATTGGAGAGTTAATCACTAGAGGACAATTTCCCTGTGTTTTCTAGTTCATTGATGAATGTCACTTTCTTCTCCTCACTTGCAGGTTTTGAGCAAGCAATTCAGGCGTATGCTATTCATGTCCTTTCCTTGACTTACCAAAAGCTTCCCAGAACTGTGCTTGCTGAGGTATGTTCACTTTAAATAAGTTATCTGTTGTGCCTTGAGGAACACTGAAATGTCTTTTCTCTGAAGTGTTGATAGAATACTTGTTATAGAAATTTACTTCCCAATTTGAACTTGGAATGTGTGTAGTCTCAGTTCTTAAACTTATTGTTGCCTCAAGAATACAATGCTAATATGTATGAGATCATTTAATTTTAATTTTATTCCTGTGTTCATTGGGATTTAACCATTTATATTCTTTATCTGTCTCTTATCCTGGAGTCATATATGATAGGCTTAATACATGAAATTTCTTGGAGCCATGTCACAGGCAATCAACATTGAAGGTCTGTCCCTGGACAAATTCCTTGAGCAGCAGGTGGCCAACAGTGGGTGGATTCTGGAGAAGAGTCATGGCAAGGGCCAACTGATTGTCTTACCTCAGAATGAATTTAACAATCCTGAGCTGAAGAAAAATGCTGCAGATAAAGTAGTACCATTAGAGCACATCACCCGAATCTTCCCCATTCTTGGCTAATCTTCCCCAGACTTATTTGGTTTTTTATATTGCTGAGCTGTTTTGTCGGAAAATATGAACCTTATTAATTGTAACAAACAGATTTTATTTCGTTACTAGCATCTTATGAATTTTCTTATATGATCAAAATGATAATTGAATTGGAATTAAAAAGTGCAATAGTCAAAAGCTCTCTAGTTCAACAAAATGAAGCTCTATGCTAATTAACAAATCTGCAGGTTTTTCAAGTTGAAAATTGTCTCGTCATTATTGCCGTATAAGTAAAATGAGACTTTATTTTTATATTACAGTTAACAATAATTAAAATATAGGAATAATGATAAAGCTAAAGTTAATTAAATAAAAATTAATTATTATTTTAAAATATAGAGAGTAATTTTTGAATTTAATTTTACCTTTGTTGCTTTTCTATCATATATTTATTAAACAAAAATTAAACCGATAGAAGATCACCATTGAACCCAAGACCCAAAAATCTTAAAATACTAAAGAGCTTGACAGCTTAAAACGTGATACATTAGTCACATATTTGATCTTTTCCCAAAATACTTGAACTGCACGTCGGTTTTCATGTCCGATCACAGATAAAGATTAAATAAAGAATGATGAACTGAAATTCTAGAAGTGGAGCTCTACAATGCAGCTGCGCATTGTAGAATATTTACAACACTGAAACCTACAAGTCCGTGTCATTTAGGAATTAGATGAGAACGAGCTCAACAAAGAATTTAAGGTTGACTATTTACTCTTTTGTACTTGGGTATCAGTTTCGATAGATTCCGCCATTCTGGGTTGAAGCTTTCGTGATGGACTTGATTCTGTGAGTAGTACAGAGGTTGTCTCCCGAAAATATATTGTAGGATCATGTCGATTCGACTGTTTCTGCATCTCCCTTAATTCCTTTTCTCGATGGTTCTCCGTCCACGGATTGCAATAGCATTGCAGTTTGAACCAAAGAAGCAGTTGGTATGCAGAATTAGCTTCGGAAGAAATGCATGAATCTCTAGTGCTTCGGAAGAATTGCTTGAATCTCTAGTGGCAAAGCGTCTCTCCACAATTTACCCATTGCGCAAAGCTATCAGAGTATTCTTCAGGAACATTGGACTTCTGCGTATTACCAAAGGGTAGCTCAGTTCCTGTTGGCTGCTTTCCCTGTATAGTACATCCGAACAAAGGGATAGTAAAGAAAACCGTGGTGTGCAAGGACAAACTTAAAATGTAAATATTTGGACCACTAAACCATAATTCCTTCTACAATTTCTTCCCATGGTTAATACCATATACTGCACAAAAGGCAGATGGAAAAATCACATATAAAGCAAGTAACAATTCACCAAGCTTGTAAATACCCAGTTTAGGATTTTTGCAATAGAATGAACTTACCAGTTCAAAAAAAAAACAATTCATCAAGCAAACCCCCCACCCCGGTCACCAGTATGCATAACCATGATCTAAATTTGGTAACCAAGACAAGAAGGTCTAAAGGAACTTATACAAGAATCACAAGAAGTATACCTTGATGCTAGATCCATTTTCACAAGTAGATGGGGTTGTTTCCCCCATTAATCCATTGACAACATTCTCTGATGACATTCCCGGAGAGTTTGTGAGCACTGATGACCTGCAGATATCTAAAAATAGTGATGGAGCTGCAATTTTCAACTACAATCTATATGCAAAATCAGTCCCATTATTATAAATTAACAAAGAGGATATCAAGAAGTCAAGTCATTAATCTCGAACGACTCAGCTTTTCTTTTACAATCTTTTAGATGAGATGACATAGAGTATCACTCATCTGAGACTGACACTAATTCTGACCCTCTTTAAGAAGGTAAATATTACATGTGATTGGCCATGCCAAGTTCAGGTTTATGTGCTGTCATTGGCATCTTTATAGTGGTTAAACTACAATCCCTCCAAACTCCTTTTTGCAAGAGAAAAAAATTGAATAAAATCACAGCCCCCAAACAATCAGAAATTTCTATGAATGCTAGCTAATTCTTGAAGCAAATGAAGCCTTTTGTAATCAAAATTAAAAAGGAAAAATTACCTCTCAAAGTGCTCATCCTCACATGAATTGCAAGAGGATGATAGCCAGTCCAGGTCAAAAAAGTTAGAGCAATTGAATGTATCTCCATGTTCTGAATGGTAAACATGATCACCTTCAAGGCACCTTTGCATGTCACCAAAAAGCTGCTTCCTTGGTATTGAGGGCGTATACCTAAATAAAGAATTTAAGGATAGAGAATCCAACATCAGACAAGAAATGCTTCCAAATCAATAAAATGAAGGCAAACTTTGTTACACAACATCCATTTGGAACAGTCATTTGTAAAAGACATGGATTTTATATCAGATTTAGATAGTAATGCATAAAGAAAAATTATTTTTGAGACAGCACTATAAAAAGCATCTTCAACAAAAATGCAAACAATCAAGACTAAAACCACTAGATGCCTTTCTTTCATCTTCCAACAATTTATGACTGAGGTATGATAAATTAACAAAGACATCAATCAGAAAGAAAACAAAACCTTGAATATGCAACGTCGCTTTCACAAGTTGATATCTCCGGTGATGACTCTGAAAGACCATTTGTTCCTCTTCGTGATCTATCAGGCAAGGGTGTATTGGAAAAGTTCCCCTGCTTGTCATTTGTGGCTGACATTGATGATCCACTTTCACAGAGAATGTTTCCATCAGAAAAGGATCTTTTGAAAAATGACCTAAAAACACAGAATTAGACAGTAAGCAGGGAGCACAAGGAAAATACTCTCAGTGAATATATTGCTTGCAGTCAGGTAAGTACTAAAATAATTGTACATATATTGTACATATATTATTAACTATGAAATAATTGCCTAGAATTTTACAAGTCATGAACCCTTTAAAAGAATCTTCAACCAAGTCATCTCCAATCACCACAGGGGACCAAGAATAATGATGTTAAGCATTATAGCACAAAGTACCAAAGATAGATTGAAATATAGAGACCTTTTCCTTGGAACAAGTAAACTACGAAAGAAAAGAAATGGATAGTTGCAACTTTGTATCGCCAAGTCCATGTTTCTACTTCACACACTTTACCTTTCATCCTCATCCCTCCCACTGCTAACATTATGGTCAGATCGCAACTCCCGAAGTGCAGGTTTACCCTCTTGAGGTTGGAAGTAGCCAAGGAATCTGCACAAAGTAAATAAAAATTGTAAAAAAATACTAATTTATGAATGGCATATACTGAATTACTGATTTAAATAAACAACAAAAGGTCAGAATAAATCAAAAGATGATGCCCAATGCTTGCTAAGTATTTCCTCTGAAAATGAAAAATGAAACAGATTGAATGCATTGTTCCAAACAAAAAAGTAGTAACACAGAGATATACTTGGTACATACTCAGGACACTAAATTTCACACAGATGCTAAGAAAAAGTGCAATGCAGATCTCAAATTAAGCAAGAAACCCACTACTTCTCACTGAAGAAACATTGCAAACTCAAGTTGATAGAGCAGAGCTAGCTTACAAATTAATTGCATCTTGCTTCTCTGCATCCATGTAAGCATTGCTGTAATACCGTTGGAGAGTTCTAAAGAACTCCTGGGACTGGGTTGCTGCTCTCCACTGACCCCTTCTCTCAGAGAATATCTGCATAAATGTGAAGAATGAAAAAAGTTAACAGACTGAGGATTGTATCAGGTTAGAAAGGAAAGAAGAATGCCTGCTAGAATGAGTGCCTTAAGCAAAAGAAATCACTCTATTGTCCTCATTCTTCAGTCAACCATCCCTTCTCAAACACATAGATACCACAATCCACCATTAACTCCTCAAAGTTTATTTCATTCTTTGGTGCTCTTTCAATCCCACCCATATCAACAAGAGATAGGGTGCCAACAAAAAGCCACTGCTCTGTCAATAGATTACATTTATCCCTTTCATTATTTTGTGTCAACTATTAGGCATGCTATGGTCTAATCAATGTTTTACTTTGTTGCAGTAACTTATCCTATATTAATTCCAGAGCTAAATTCAGACCAGGAGCAGAATAGTCCCAGAATACATCAGTTTCAATGACTTATAAACTTGAAGTTAGCAAAGGAACTACAGCTCAATATTGAAAACAGATACTAATCCAAACCAAAGCAGAGAGAAACCTATATCCTGTGATGCAATTTCCAATTTGTAGCTGACAAGGTTAAATATCCATAAATTTTATTGTTAAAAAAAAGTCATATGTTTGGCTTTTGCAACAAAATGGAAAGAAAAAACAAATTACAAATACAGGTCATAGACTCTGTGAACTCCAGAAATTGTGGATTATTTGAATCATCACCTTATTGTGTGCTGCAGAGCCACCATACTGGTGTGCCAGTGTGTCACCCATTCTTTCATAAAAACCCATTAATTCATCTGCCAAAGGAGAATCGAGGTCTATCTCTGTTGTGTCTGTTACACTTAATGCATGAAGCTGGTGTCCAAGAGCTGCCAACCCATAGGCATATTGTGCAACATTAGTGCGGTCAAGGCAGTCTATGCAATTGGTCCTAAGGACACCCCTTTGGAACATTGGTGGTTGAACAGAATAATTTCCATTAACAAAATTGTTATCACCATTAGAATTTCTCTGCAACTTCTCAGAAACCTCAGTATCATTGTTACTATCTAGCTGGATGGACATATTGCCATCCTCAATATTCCTGCATCACATTTTCAGAACCAATCATGACATGGTCACATCATAAATGCTTAGTATTAGCACCAAGGTTTTATTTGTTGTAATTACATCAAAGGTTTTTTATCAACATTACAGTAATTACATCAAAAGTAACTAGGTAAACCATACAGAATTCCTACTCAATCACCTAAATGCTGCAAATTTGAAACTGCATCTAGGAAAAAAGTCAATAAAGGGAAGTGTTATAGGAAAATGAATTACAGTTGATAATTATATAGGCCCAGAGAATAAATCCAGAAGACAATAGGATAGAGATGAAGATTAGAGGGTAGCTTAAAATTTTTCTCCTAAAAGAAGAAGAAAGAAAAGAAAGAATATGTTGAATCAAACTGACCAGGTATAAAGAAACACACTGATAACTTGTGATAAATGAATCTAGAAGTTGTTGAAACACAACAAACTTACTCAGAGGAAGGCCATGTCAAGATCTCCTCAGGCCTCAAGGCTGATGTCACCCGGAAATAAAAGAAACCTGTTAGTGTTAATGCACATGAAGCTACTTTGCCCAAAAGCAGTAACGCATTCGTTGCCTTGCTGGAAGAAACAAAAATAATACATTTTTCCGTAAGGGAATCAAATTCTAGGGAAAAAAAGGTTATGCCCAAAAGGGGGAAAGGGAGGTCGAATGACAAGATTAAGACATAGACCTCCGAGAACTTTTGTGTAGATCCCAGTGAAGGAACTTCAGATGGTTTTCCTCTGACAAATCTTTATTGATAAATTCAATTGCATTAGCAAACTCTTCACGAAGAATTGATTCTCGAGGCTTCTTCTCCTGTGTCTGCTTATTGCAGAAAAGCAATATTAAGCAGGAAAAACAAAGAAAAAAAAATCTTGGGAAGGATCTAACAATCAAGTTGATTTTAATTAGGTTCACCACAATGCTCCCCGTGTTACAAGAATTTTCTTTTTTATAATATGCAACACCCTTCTATGACATTCAGCAGTTTATAGAAAGTAAAAAAATAAAAGGGATGAACCATGAAGCCAGTGCCAATGATGATGGTCATAGTCATAATGGTAGTGGTGGTGGGGGTCACAGCAACGAAGATCCAGAGTAGGTAGGCCATAAAGTATTCCTGGGTTGTGATAACTGATAAGAAACTCACCTTAATCAAATTCAAAATTATTATGGGTTTTCCATATCTCTTGACAAGATTTTCAAAATGAAGTCTGGTGGCTTCATAATTTTGGTCCTTCTTTGACACTAGGAAAGAAAAGAGAAATACGTTAGGGAGAAAACATAAATGCCATCCACAACATTACCTCACATACTATTATAGTTCTGGGCACATACAAACAATATCTGGTTTAAGATTCAAACGTGAGGTTTCCTGTGACCAAAAGAGTGGGATTGAACCACGGTTCTGGACAACGGAACTTATTTGCATGGGAAGGCCATCGGTGACATCCTCAAAGACAATCTGCTCTGTCTCAACATCATTAGCTACTCTTCCTTCCTCATTTACTCCACGTTTCAAATACCTATATGCAAATCCACAAGGAAGTTGAGCACATTTGTTCCAAACTTAATTCAAAAATTAAAGGGAAAAAAAAAAAACAGAAGAATAAGAAGGAATCTAGAACCCTGAATATTGCTTAACCATATCAGACTCAGTGGCAAACAATTCAAGTATCCAAGTCGAAGTTTAACTCACTAGAATACAATAGCTGGTCAAAATTATCTACCACCATACAGACACATTAAATCAATAATTCATTCAACAGAAATACAAAATGTTTACCCCTCAAAAATGACTTTTTTAGTAAAAAATTCTGTTTCACTTCAAATATTATAGCACCTTCTAAGTTGGAATATGTTGATCACTAATGCAGTTGCACAAATTCCTACCTGGTGCCTGCATAATGTCGGGATCGTCTCGCAATAAGGGTAAGTTTGAAATCCCTTCCAGAAACAGAAAGTGTGGCCTACATTCATACAACAAGAAGAAAATCAAAATAAAAGGCCTCCAATGGAAAGAAGAATAAGCAGACAGACAGCAAAGAATGTCCCAAATATCATCATCTACCACAATACTTTTACATAATAAGACAAATAATGTTAAACTCAAATACATAAATAAAAGCAAGCACCAAAGAATATACTCACAGAAAGAAAGCTGAAAGAAATTTATCATATATCATGCTATACTCTCCTTACCCCAGATGGCTTATACATATGATTACATTTGTAAAATAATCTAAAAGACTAAAACCACCAGCCTCTCACCTGTTTAAAGAAGCCATAAACCAGAGCAACCGTCCACAAAGTATTTTGGAGGTGATTGCGGATCTCCCGTGTCAAGAACTCATTCCAAACAAACATGGTTTCATACAGAACCTGGCTTGTTTGATTATTACATAAGTTCTTTTGAAGACTAAGCATGACATGGTATGAATAACTGAAAAAGAAGTCCTTTGTAAGGTCCACCATGCACAGCAGCTTCTTGTATCTAAGCCAAAAAAAAGGTTATTTAGGGACGAGATTAAACGCTGCGTTTTGTAGACACGTATGTTGCATACTTCGACTGGAACGTGAATCTTCGGCGAACGGACCCGCTCACCCCCGACTCCAAAGCGAACAAGGGCACTTCTGTAACTCCATCTTTCGCCCCAAATTTCCCGATGCTCAGTGACCTCCTTCCTCCCGCTCACTTCAATCTTCAATTCTGAAAACCCTAACGAGAGAGGAAAGAGGAACAAACAACGAGAATTTTCGATTGTCTGCTGGAAATCCATAGTCTTCATCAATGATGTCCGCAAAGAAATACAAGAAGGAGAAAATCGCTCGTCGGAAGTAAGTATCATTCCCTTCTCTTTCACCTCAATCAAAAACTTCTGTTTTAGTTCCTTATAGAAGTAAGAAAATAAGCTTCTGAGATTATATTGTATATCTTAATGCTGTGTTACTGGATACATTTTTTTGGGTAATACGTATTGATGTTCAAGGAAGAATAAATTTGGAAGAAAAAGAGTTGCCGGGAGCTAAGTTTTTGAAATTGTTTTTGCGTGTATGAAAATGGTGGGAGGGTTTTTGAGTTGGAAATGAAATTGTGTAGGGAGGAGAAAGCAGAAGAACCCGAGCAACCCAAGTACAGGGACCGAGCTAAGGAGCGGAGGGAAGATCAAAATCCCGATTATGAGCCTACTGAATTGGGTTCTTTTCATGCTGTTGCTCCTCCTGGGACTGTTGATATACGGTAAGACCCTTCTTTGTCACAAACTATTGTAATTTTTTTCATTTCCATTTTTTTAGTGGATTCTTTAATTAGTTAGTTTTGTGTAAATATCTTTAGGTCGGCCGATGCACACAAGTTATCCATCGAGAAGAGCAAGTACCTTGGAGGTTTGTGTTGTTATATTTGAAGTTTGGCAATACTCCCCCCTTTTTTTATCCTTTCCGAAAGAAACAAGAAATTTCGCATTCTTTTTACATGGAATTTTATTATTTTATTTTTAAGATATGATGATGAATGCAACTCAATGGGTGTCATGTTGGTATTGATAGGGAAAATGGTGATAATGATTTGTTGCTTATTCTATTTTCTGGATGTTTTTTTAAATGAGTGAATATGTGTTCAGGTGATGTGGAACATACACATTTGGTCAAAGGGTTGGATTATGCCTTGCTTAACAAGGTAAGAAGTGAGATTGACAGGAAGCCAGATGCTGGGGAGGAAGCTGATGGGAAGTCAAGGTAGTTGAATTTTTTATTCTTTTATTTATCTCTTTACCTCAGAAAGAAGCCCTGATTATTTTTTTTCTTGGACATCCTAATGTCTGTCCAGTTAAATAAAAAAACAGTTTAATGTATACGGCGAGCTAACTAACTGAAGAACCTGGGTTGGGATGGCAAGTACCATGGAGGCATGTGAAGATCTATTGAGTTGCAATCAACAGCCTAATGTCTGGCCAGTTACAAGAATAAGAAACATTATTTCTGAGTAATGGAGATCAAGTGGTCATGACTCATGAGATCTCGTTATCTATTTAAAAAAACAGTTTTAACTGCTAATTTTAATTCTATACTATTGCATTTAATGGCATGTTGTTAATTTTGTTAAGCCATTGCTGCTTGATCTGGCTTTTTTGAACCTGAAGATTTCACCATAACCTTCATAAAGCTGAATTTCGTTACCGCAGTACATGGTTTCATTATTCATTTGCACACATGCACAAAAAAAGATAATGAACCCAAATGGCAATATACTATTTTCAGTACTTTTATCGGTCTTTTGATGGTTCTCAATGAATAACCTCTATATTAATTCTGCAATCAATCATCTCACACTTTTTTAACATGCACTTGTTATTTTTGCTGACAGGACATCGAAGGAAGATCAGCAAGTGGCATTTCGTACAGCCACTGCAAAGGTGCATTAACTTCTTCTGAATGTTACATTTTGGACTCAGTTTGTCAATTGGTTTAGAAAAAGGGTGTTGGTTTATTGGTTTGGCAGAAGCTATGTATATTTATGTCTTTCTCTGTTTACAGTCAGTGTATCAATGGATAGTGAAGCCTCAAACTATCATGAAGACAAATGAGATGTTTCTACCTGGTCGAATGTCATTTATTTTTAACATGGTAAGAATTTTGGTTAAATTTCCACACTTATATTGTTTCTTTCTAATTATGGGCTACACAACAGCAGTTGACCCTCCCCTTCCATAAACCCCTACCACCATGATTATCTGACATCTACATAGTTGTAATTCCATCATCCTGATTTCCTCGCTTGGATTCTATCTCTTCTTACTAGGAGGGTGGATACTCCAATGACATACCAACTACCTTGCATCGAAGTAAAGCTGACTGTCCAGTTCCAGAGGTATGTATTCTGTGTTTCAGGCAGTTCTCATTTGCATGCAAGGTACTGTCTCTGACTTTTGTTTTCTATTTTTTTATGCAGGAAATGGTTACTGTCAGTGTTGATGGTTCTGTACTGGATCGAATTGCTAAAATCATGTCATACCTCCGCCTTGGATCATCTGGAAAGGTTCTTAAGAAGAAAAAGAAGGATAGAGATCTGAGGGGTAATTACCATATTGGTTATTGTTGTTATTGGAAGTTGCTGGCCATTATTTTGATACAGATATCAGTCTAATGATAGATACACACTTGGGTGCATTATGGAATGTGATTACATTGTAGAGGAAGCTATAAGAAAATTTTTTAAGCATGATTGCTGCATGTGAGCATGCTCATACTGTTTAGATGCCTTGTGTACAAGGATAATTGCCATCCCTTGTCTATGTGAGCCTTTGATGGAAATTGCCATGTTGGTATGTTTATTCAAAGTCTCAAGAATGATGTTATTCTTGATTTTTGGATGGGAGTTAGCTGACCTTTTCAGCTTTTCCCCTTGGCATTTTGAGTGTTTTCTTTCAAAAAGAATTTGAAGTAAAAATAGACGTTGATTTATTTTTCTTCACTTATTCAGTATGGTTTCCATAATGCATTAAGGACCGGTGGTAAGAAGTTCTAGTTTACATGATGGTGAAGATGCCAGACGGCAATCTGTATGAGGATATATTATTTGAATATATAACATGTGATTATGTGGTTACTTATTCTGGTTTCATGTTGTAGGGAAGCTCTCAACTCTTGGTAATGAATATGATGAAGAGGAGAAGCCAGCTAAGCTTAATGGTGGAATTCCAAATAATAGAACTGAAAGAGAAGTTTTACCCCCACCTCCACCACCTCCAAGGAAAAATAATCTTGATTCGAGAGAGAAGCAAGGTCCATCTATTGCTAGAGAAGAAGAGGGTGACATATTTGTGGGGGATGGCACTGACTATGCTGTTCCAGGTAAAGACATAAACCAAAGCCCACTCTCAGAAGACATGGAAGAGTCTCCTCGAAATAAGGAAAAAGTTTCATACTTCACTGAACCCACTTATGGTCCAGCTCCACCCACTGGGGCTCCTCAAGAATGGCAAGTGGTAAGTTGTTATTCATAACTACTCATCTTTTCCCAGATTAACTAGAAGCGTGACATGCAAATGGGTCAAATTTGAAGTTTCTATGCAGAAAAAAAGTTTGTCGAATAAATGGTAAAAAATTATACATTCATTTTGAATTTTCTTTCGCTGATTTATTCCATGCTTGGATTGACTGTCTGATTTTAGAATGGATATGACACCTTGCAAGCACAAGTGATGGCTGCTGGCTACCAAGGAGAGTGGCAGGAATACCAGTACGCTGAGCAACTGGCTTACCCTGAGCAATACCTTCAGGTCAATATGCAGACTTATGATTCAGAAGCAGGATTGAATGTTCCACTGGATCCTCGATTCATGACACAAGAAGAGAAGGATCGTGGTTTAGGATCTGTATTCAAGCGTGATGATCAAAGGCTTCAACAATTGAGAGAGAAAGATGCCCGTGAAAAGGATCCCAATTTCGTATCTGAGAGTTACTCTGAATGTTACCCTGGTTATCAAGAGTATAACCGGGAGATTGTTGAGAGTGATGATGAAGATGACTTATCAAAAATGGATATGGGGGGACGAGTAAGTAACTTTATTTTATTTTTCATTTAAAATTATAAACTTTCCTCGTATGATTTTGCTAGAAACTAGAAGTATACTCAAGATTCCTAAGAAAATGGTTAATCTTTGAACAGTGCTGGTATTCTGGAATTACTTATTGGTGTAACAATTTGTTGAAATCATTTCAACAGGCAAAGGGGCGTCTCCATCGGTGGGACTTCGAGACTGAAGAGGAATGGGCATCATACAATGAGCAGAAGGAAGCAATGCCAAAAGCTGCATTCCAGTTTGGCGTGAAGATGCAAGACGGGAGGAAGACAAGAAAGCAAAACAGGGACCAGAAGCTCAATAACGAGCTGCATCAGATCAACAAGATACTGGCTAGAAAGAAGATGGAGAAAGAGACGGGAGGCGAAGGTGGTGGACATTATAACGATGATTTACAACCTGGAAAAAAGCTCAGAATATCAAGTTAATAGCTTACGTTATGGTTTTCTTTTTCGTTATGTATAATTAATAATCTAAAAGCTCCTCAAGTCGGTATTCGTTTTTGTTAGGAGAATGTTAATTGTTATAATGGTATATAATATTGAAAGTTTATAATATGATATATTGTTATGTAGTTTTTTTTTTTTTTTTTCCTTAGGGATTTACCTGTGTTATAATATATGATTATTCATTTAATATCATGTTATTTTTATTTGAAGTGAGTGGATGTCACTTTCGATTTATAAAAATAATTAGAATTTTAATTTATATTTAGAAACTAATATCTAAATTTGAAAAATCATTATATATTTTAATATGCTAATATTTAATAGGATAATTTTTAAAATTTTAAATTAAATTTTAATTGAATAAAATGAAGTAATTTAAGGTTGAGAGTTTAATTATTTTTTAGAGTTAAGATTGATATACATTTTTTTTCTTTATATTTAATATTAAGTTATAATTGTAAATTTATAATTTTATCTAGTATTATTAATTTTGTAGTGTTAGATCAACTTTTCCTTTAAAAGAAAAATAAAATTCAGGTTAAATATCAGTATTTTTTATGAAATTATCTATGTGTTTTTAAATAAATTTTTTATATGTTAATTTATTAAAAATATTTAATTTTTTTATTATTACATCTCACATTTTAATTGTTAGAAAATTTTAATTTTCTTCAATCCATTTCCTCGTTTTTATCATTAAAGAAATGGACAAAAAGGGACAAGAGTGGGCAAGACTATTTGGGCCTTGATGGTCCAAAGTCGGTCCAAATTAAGAGCCCAAGAAATTTTTTTTTCTTTTCGATATATAGTAATAAATAATAATAATAATAACTTCTAACTTCCAAACCATCCTCAGGTTTCCTTGCGTCGTTGTTCTGTTCTGGTCTATCCTCCAAATATCAGTCTTGAAGGAAAACGAAAAACAAAATCCTTCCTCTTTCAATTCATTCTTGCTGTCTGGATCTTTGAAGACTCAAATTTTCTAGGGTTCAGATTGGATTCTCTGATTCGTATATCGTCGAATAGGTATGCAATTACGTCTTTCTCATATCGATTTTTTTCCCCGGTTTTCAAAATCAAAAATTAGGATTAGCGATTAAAGTCTGCAAACCCTAAATCGAAACAAAGTTTCCACCTTCAGACGATATATGACTTCTCCGAATTCACCTTTTTTTTCTTTTTTTTGTTCAAAAAATTTTTTTGTTACTTCTTTGATTCATTCCCGAACAAGCACCTAACAATGGGTATTTATGTTGACTTTCAGTAATATTTGGTGTTGATTTTTTTTGGTAATTTAGGTTCTGGTTTTCTGGTCAATGGAAAAGATTGATGGAAGAGTTTCTTATCCTTCTCTTTCGAAGGAGAAGGAGAATGATGGATTTGGCTTTGATGATGACAATGGTGATTCTGTTTGGGCTGTCCCAGAAAGCAGAAAATCACAATTAGGCTCAAAGTCATTGAAACAAGATCATCTATACCCATTTCAGTGCGATACTGATGATTTCCTTGATGGAGGATATGATTCAAGTGATGATACTGTTAATTCCATGAAAAATAAGAGGCCTCCTGAGATCAACTTGAAGAATTTGTTAGGTGGGCTATTTGCAATTATAACTGGGCAGAATAAAGCACCAAGTTTTATTGCAAATCAGCAGCACCCAAGTTCAAATGTTTCATTTTTGGGCTCTGGAAAGAATGGAGATACCTACTTGCACTCGTCTGTTTACATTCCCAGTGCCCCACCGCTTCTCAAGCCAAGTGGGGCTGACTATGGTGCTTATAAAGAAGTTTTGGAAGCTGAGCCTCCAGAGTGGCTTCCAGATAGTTCTACCACAGTTTGCATGCAGTGCACTGCTCCTTTCACGGCACTTACTCGTGGAAGACATCATTGTCGGTTTTGTGGAGGGATTTTCTGCAGTGCATGTTCTAAAGGGAGGTGCTTGTTACCTACAAAGTTTAGAGAAAGGAATCCACAGAGGGTGTGTGATGCCTGCTATGATAGGCTTGATCCTTTGCAGGGTATTCTTATTAATTCGATTAGCAATGCTGCACAAGTGGCTAAACATGATGTAATGGATTGGACTTGTGCTAGAGGGTGGATGAATCTGCCAATTGGTATGTCCATGGAACATGAGATATACAAAGCATCCACTACATTGAGAAGCTACAGCCAGGTAAATTTTTCCGTCTGATGCTCAATAACCTTTGTGATTTGTATTCCCATATCTCATAAGCAGGTTTATATCTATTTACTAGACACTTCCAGTTATTAGATTTTTACACTTTCAATGCTTTTTAATATAATACTTGTTAAAATGAGCAGGTTGCTGGATCAAATCCAGAGAGGTCCATACCCTTGTCTATTCTGAAAGGAGCCAAAGGCTTAGCAATTTTAACTGTTGCTAAAGCTGGAGTTCTAGTCTCATACAAACTGGGGACTGGTCTGGTCATTGCTCGGAGGTTAGATGGAACATGGTCAGCCCCATCTGCCATCTTTTCTGTGGGTTTAGGGTGGGGTGCTCAGGTAAATCAATGATGGACATAATTTCTTCAATGATACACCTCCAATAAATAAGCTGCTTTCCTTATTAAAGTTATGCATAATTAGTTCAGATGATAATGTAAGAGAGGTAGAAGACTGCTTCATTATTTAAGTCTCTAGGACAGTCAAGGATCCACTATCATTTACACTGTTTTTTAATTGTGATTTTCTTACATGTTACCAGATTGGGGGTGAGCTCACGGATTTTATAATTGTGCTTCATGACTCAGAAGCCGTGAAGACATTCTGTAGTCGCATGCATTTTTCTCTTGGTGCTGGTTGTAGTGCTGTGGCAGGACCTGTAGGGAGAGTAGTGGAAGCAGATATTCGGGCTGGTGATAGAGGTTCTGGCATGTGCTATACATACAGTTGTAGCAAAGGTATTGATTTTGCATTGGATTTTGTTCAAATTTTAGTGATCTATTTGTGAAAAAGTTCATTAATCTGTTAAATGGCTGAGACTGCTTTTGTTACAAACTTGTCAGGAGCATTTGTAGGTGTGTCGCTTGAGGGGAACGTGGTTGTAACAAGAATGGATACCAACCTACGGTTCTATGGTGATCCTTATCTCTCCACAGATGACATTCTGCTTGGAACTGTGGACAGACCAAAGGCTGCTGAGCCCTTGTATGGAGCTCTTGAAGACCTCTACCGTAGTCTACACTGTTAGTCCCTGCTTTTGTGATTAGTTTCAGAACACTCTACATGAAGAATCCTGCATCTGTGTACAGAGCAACTCCAATCTTATTATGCTGGATGACTCTATTGAAGGTTGCTATTGAGATTTATCTGCATGGAGAAAGAACTATCATCTACACGCTTTCATTCTTTTCTATGCCCATACTGTCATTTAATCAAATATATAGCTTCATCTGTCAAATTACTCAGTTTATTCTATAAATATCCTTTTATCTTAATCTTTAACCATTGTGTATAGACATTATTTGTCAATTTTTATGTGTCATACCCTTTCTTTGTTTTCTTTTTTCTTTTTTCTTTTTTTTTGTGAATGAACTGACAAATCTCTCTCGCACTTTACTATTAAGTGACCAAGGGTCATCTTGTAGTCCAATTTGAAGTAGCATTTAAGAAAATTTAATTTCTAATACGGGGTGTACTTTTAAGGTGCCAGGTGATAGATTAGTCAGTGCACCTGCCAGATCATTCAAAGGAGAAGAAAAATACCACTTCCCCCTAATATAGATAATTTTTTTTAAAATTCAAAGTCATTTGCTGGTGTTAGTGAGTCACTAAAACAGTGATTGAAGAAGGGTAAAAAGCAGGGTAGGAAATTCAACAACTCAGGGCCTCTTACCAAGTTGAATAGGGGGAATTATGGGGAATCGAAGTATTTTTCAAGTAGTTGGTAAGAATCGAATTCTTAACCAACTAAACCAAGCATTTAAGATTTGGGATGAAGGCCCCCTTGAAGGCTCCTCTATTTTGATTTAATCTTTTCAATTGCGTTGGTGCTGTAATGCCGGGCTGGGTAGACTCATTTCTCAGCCATTTTCACTGCTAGTCCAATTCAAGATGATGGATCGCCAAAGGAACAGAGTCTTTAGGCATAAGACCAACAAACAAATCAAGGAGGAAAAATACTGTATAAATTTAATATGCTCTTAACTTATTCCCTTACAATGGAATTAGGGAAAAAGAATTGAAAAACCTCTAACAAGAAAATGAGTTTATTCCTTGAGCCAGAGGGAATAGAATTAAGCAGGGAATAATACGAAGAGCCAAGTTTTGTGAGTTCTACCCGTATAAGGGAGTGTTTTTAAACTTATAAGAACTTAACGTTTAAACTTCAAATATCATAACTGTATAGTTTTCACTTTCTTTTGAGCAAGATTCTATTATTGGAGATTCAATACTTTATTGTAAATTCTCTAGTTTTAGATAAATCTTTTTTTTTTTTGGTACTAAATTTCTTAAAATTTGAACATCACCTTACATTTTAATTAGTCTAAAAATGAGTTATATTAAATTCTATAATAAAGAAACTCTTAAAATTAAAACTTTATTTAAAAAGAATAAAAAATTTTCTATATCTTTGATTTTAAAATAAATAATATATTTTTAATTTGATTAAAAATAAAGAATTGTTAAATTTCACTTTAAATTCGAAATACCTAATTGCTAAATAAAAAAATCTTGTTAGCTCCTTCATTTCAACAAACTCTCATTTTATAAAAATACTATAAATAGTTAAATTAACTAATTGTACATCACATTAACGAAAACTTATCTAAAAATGGAAAGAAATCAAGAGTCCAAAAATTTAAGTAGAAATGGGAATGAAGAGTTTGAAGTTTGAACCCGGAAGCATTGGAGCACGAAAGTAGAATGTGAAGGGACCCAAAAAACCTTAATAGTCACGATGTCATTAACAATCATATAATACTGATAAATAGACGAAAATTTAAAATTAAAATTAAAAACCAATAATGTGAGTATAAGTTATTTTATTTAAAATATTAAAAAATAAATTTTATATTATTTAATGATAATTCCTTTTATTTTTTTAAAATTTATAATATATATCAATTGATTTTATAACATATCTTACGTCACTTTTTTTAAAAATTTAAATAAAAAAAAAAAAAAAAATAATTTTTAATAATTAAAAAAATCCAACCAACTAACATATCATATAAATTAAAAATAAAATACTTTAAACGAAACAAAATAAAATAAGTAGAATACGGAGTTATTTGGATGGTTGCCTTTACGCTACATTAGTGCCAACTTTTCGTCCAATACTTTTATCTTCCCTTTCATTGCTCATGATTCGCGGTTCGTGTTTTTCCGATGCGTCAAGGGGTGCTGGAAAACCCATCAATGAAGAAACCGAATATGGAGAAGAATATTCAAATTGTGGACCTTGAAAGTGGTGGGTTCTGGTTCCCACCCACCTCCGGTGAAGGCACCACGAAGAACGACGCCATCTCCGTCGAGCAGTACAGTGAAGAGAGAGACCTCGAATTGGCCATCAGGCGTTCTCTCCTTACATCCCAAAACTTCATTGATCTCGATAGCTACGACGATGATTCATCGGTGCTTAATTTCAAGCCGGATATCAATCCACGACCTCGAAAAAAGCCTTTCGTCTATCCCACCGTGACTGAGCGCGGCGAATCTTCGAATTCTAAATTCACCGCCGCACCCGCCTCTCCTCCCCCTCCACCCCCTCCGTTTCTCTGCGAAATTTGCGCCGAACCCAAGAGCCAAAACGAATCATTTAAAATCAAGGGATGCTCGCACTCCTACTGTACTGACTGTGTGGCCATATTCATCACCACGAGATTGCAAGAAAACATTACGGTGATCCATTGTCCGGTACCCAAGTGCAGTGGATTGTTAGAACCAGAGTACTGCCGCCGGATTCTGCAGCCAGAGGTGTTTAATCGGTGGGGAGATGCTCTGTGTGAGGCGGTGATTCTTGGGTGTCAGAGGTTTTACTGCCCCTACAAGGGCTGTTCGGCCCTACTGATCATTGATGATGGAGCACAGCAGGTGAGGGAATCGGAATGTCCCAATTGTTTCCGACTGTTCTGTGCTCAATGCAAGGTTCCATGGCACTCCGAAATCCAATGCGAAGAGTATCAGAAGTTGCACAAGGATGAGAGAGAGCGGGAAGATATCATGCTACTGAAGCTTGCACAGCAAAAGATGTGGGCGAGATGCCCAAAATGCAGGTCTGTTGTGGAGAAGACTCAAGGTTGTGACAATATATACTGCAGGTCAGTTCCAATTTCTCAAGCTAATTTATGATTTTTGTGTGTTTAGGTAATTTGCTTTGTAAATTTCTGTGCTTTATTGCTAAAGTAATAGTATTTCATGTTCTATTAATTGTTCTGAAAGTCATAACTCTTGTTACATGTTATCCTTTAAATCTCTCCCTCTTCCTCGTTACGACTGACAATTCTGTTATTAGAAAAACAAAGACCTTTAATTTGTTAATTATTTAATTAAATTTATTTATTTTACATCAATGTTAAAATTAATATTACTTTTTACATATTTTTATACATTTATGATAGAAATATATATTTAACCTATATTCTAAGCACCAATAAAAGATTTTCGATCTCTATGAGGAGACCATTAGTATCATGTACAAATAAAAGGAAGAAAGCTTAGTACTTAATCAATGCTTTAAGCAAGACTCTAGAATTACTTACGGTCCTTTTTCTTTTTTCTTTTTTTTCTGTTGATACTGTTAAGCAAGCAGATTTATTGCGTCTATCTTTTAGTTTCTATCTCCACAATTAACATTAATGCTGAAGAACTTCCATTTTCTTGTGCATTGCTGCAGGTGTGGAATGTTTTTCAGGTATGACACACAACGTTGCAAGTGAGAGCAGGGGAGGAAGAGGAAGAGGAAGAAGTTGCAGGAGCATTGATTTTAGCTTTTCTTTACTCTCAGCTTGATAATCACATTGTCAAGCTTTGGAAATGAATAATGAACGTTAGGTTGTGTTTGGATGAAACTATTTTATATGATGATAGAAATCATAGAATAGAATTTCAAAATCGTTTTTAGATTGCCCAAAAAAAGGGTTGTTGTTTTAATACAAAACATATCATCTTAGAATATCATCTGAAAGGTGAGTTTTTGTTGCCTGTGAAAATCATGGTGTTGTCTCCAAAAAAAACCCCTTAAAAAGGGGAAAACAAAACGACGTACTACTTGCTTTGCTCAAAATAAAAAAGATTTCTTCGACAATCCTCTCTTCTTTTTAAGCGTGGAACTCAATTTATGAGTTGATGAAAGAATATCGTGAACTACGTTTTAATGATCAGATGATTGACTAAAACGAGGGATGAACTTCTTACACTAAATGGGTTATACGACAAAATGCCTTAGATATGAATCCAAGGAATCATTCAAAATAATGTAATCAAGAAAAGTTAAGACCGTAAAAAAAATAAATGATTGCCAAATTATCGAAAATCTAAATGAATATTAAATATGCAAACTGGGTTGTAACATAACTCTGAAAGGAAATCTAATTGCAAAAAAAAACAAATTAAGTTAAAGTGAATAAAACTAGAAACATGGGAAATCTACTGACAGTATAAAGTGTAAATTAATAGAAATAGAATTGAATATGAAATTAAATATCGATATCATTTGATTAAATTAAAGGAAATTAGGAAAACAATAAAGGAAAGAAAACAATTTGATTATAAAGAAAAATCACTGAAGGCAACGAAACTCACCATTACAAAACCAACAAAAGGAGAACTGAATTGCTTTCTTAGAAAATTGCAACTAATTTATGAGATTTCTAAAGGAAAAGTCATTAAACTAAAGTTGAAACTAATTTAGGTTAAAGTGTAGAGTTAAAACTAAATTAAAGGGCTGGAGACTAAGATGAATTTGAGTATAAAAGGAAATTGTGTTGAACTTGTTGCGTGAGAGGCAAGTTTATCTTTGCTTGATCTTATTATCGGGTATTTATAATACCTTGACAGCATGATGGAGATTTGCGGCAACATCTTGAAAACTAATTGCAGCATAAAATCTGCAACAAATTGATCAATCCATTGGTGCTGCCGATTATGCTCTTGGAAGTTCTAACAAATGAACGGTTTTATTGTCGTGGTAGAAATAACCACCAAACTTTATATGAAAATATTTACATCAATAACTTTTAACTAATGAAATACCTATCAACAGATGACAGAAGACACATGACAACACATTATTTGTTGTAAAATTAGGTGTAAACACATGCTGTAAGTTTTATCTGAACTCACATGGCCACATGATCAATAATTGAATCGTCTTCAGCTTCTAATTATTATGCTCATAAATTATTACTTTGAAATTTATAACAAGATTGCATCGTATAACACTGAAAATTAATGAAACTTCGTGTCAGAGAGGAACTAATAAATTGATCTTTGGGAAAAAAAAAAATGAAAAGAAATCAAGAGTCCGAGATAAGCAATTTTTGAAACTTCAAACCCCAGAAAATGGAAGGTTGAGAGACTCATAAACTCCAGTAAAAAATCATCATAGATTAGTTTTTTTTCCCAAAGATGAAGAGCAATTAAAAAAAGTCATTACCCGATGATTAAAGTAGTTTAGTCCTAATTTTTTTTTTTTTTGTAAAAATAAAAATTCTTGAGTTCCATTAATATGATATGCAAATAAAATTAAAGAATATAAGGACATTACTTTGTATTACACAATCTAAAATAAAATAAATAAAAAGATCAGTCTCTAAAAAGAAGCAGACCGACACCTCTTAGTAAAAGTTGTACCATTACCATTCCTATGCAAGATTGTGAGATTAAGAGATAAAATTGTATTTTGTATTATTTTCATAGTCTACTAATCAACACAACACCACAAGATAGCACCTATAATAGATACTTATTGTGATGTTAACAACGCATAAAAAGGCTTAGTAATTGTTTTAAAGCTACCAAAACATAATCATTGGCCTTAAATTGCAATCGTATTCATCCATCTAAACTCAAGCTTATTATATTATCATTTTTTTTATACATTAGATGATGTAGAGAATAACAAGGGATATTTTTTTCCTTTCTACAAATTCATACCTCACTCATCTTAAAATTTAAACTCAAAATTTATAATTTGAAATCTTTGTGAAACATTCAATGACTTAACTGTCATTGTATATCATTGTTGCTTAATCCTCTCTTTTTTATAAAAAAAAAATTCTTTTCTTTTAATTTAAACTCTCAAGTTCTTAAAAAAAGAGAATCAATAAGAGTTTAGTTAAATTAATAAAAATCTTAATTTGAGATTAAGATTAGAAGTTCAAACTCTAATAATACTATGTAACTAATCTCCAATGTTGTTGATTAAAAGAAAAGAAAAAAAACCTATTCTCCCATGTACCAAAAGTTTTTTAAAACAAACATTGAATTTTTTTTAAGGCATATATTAAAAGTTTCAAAAAAAACAAAAATTAACCTTTAGTTTATTAAAATTCTAATTAAATTCATCAATATGATAATAAAACTGAAATTAATATTAATTTTATTTTTTAATATAAATTTATAATAAAAAAGTACACTTAACTTGAAAGTCCAAGGTTAAAAAAACCCAAAAACACTTTTTTTTTAATTTTATTTTGTCCATTAATTAATTGCTTGATTGTTCAAATTAAGAGGACTGTATTACAATAATCACAAAATTCCAAAAAATCCAAAACCTCTCCGGTTTATCCGGGACGAGTAACATTGGTGTCATACGAAATGACCAAAATGCACTCAAGTCTCAACAATCCATCAAAAGAATGTAAAAGCTTTTGAGGCTATTTTCGTAAAATCATTCGCTCTGAACCCAATCTGTTTTGACGGCACTCTTAAAAGCGGGAGGAACGTTCAGTCGTTTACCTGCAAAAGTAACGGAACTGGAAGAATACTACTCTGATGACGTGGACGGTTCTCTAGTCGACACGTCACAAATAAATTTTGCTAAATTACTAAAATAACCTTGTAAAATTAATAAGAAAAAATTGAAAGAAAACGACCTTCCTAATAAAAAAATTAAAATTAAATTTTTTAAAAAAAAAACAGGGCAGTTTCTACGTCAAAAGCCAAACCTCTTTTTCTCTTGTATTACAGCTGCTTTCTCCTCTTTTTGGATGCTCAGAGGAAAAAAACAGAGCGTCTGCTCACTGATTCTGTTACTCTGGTACTGTTTTTCCACTCATTCTCTCCATTATGTAAGTGTTTTTCTCTTTATGTTTTCCTTTTGGGATCCATCCTTGAAAGTTTAGTGCAATTGATTCTGATTGTGGGTATTTCTTATACCCTTTCTCTTTTTGGTTTAATGTCAACCTGAATTTTGGGTACGTTTGATCGTTTTTGTGAGGTTTATGGTGGAATCTGGGTGGCATGCAATTGGGTTTTGAATATGGTTGTGTTGATGATCTGTTTTGAACTAAATAGGACTTAGCTGATATGTAGAGAGCTTTAGTTAAAGAGAGGGTTTTGTGTAAAGTTATTGCCTTTTCTACCCACCCATGATTTGGGTGCAAAAGAAAGTACAAAGAAAGAAACTTTTTTATAATCTGATCATGTTCTCTTCCCGTTTCCATTTGGGTGTTGTTGGTTTTCCTTGTTTTCCAGAAAAATTTGCTATATCCAATGGGTGTGAATTGCTAGCCTAAGGAACTAAAATCCAAAAGAAGAAAATTGCTTCATTTTTCTCATGATATGCTGTTCTTTCTAACTTTTTAAGACTTCACGTGGAGAACATGGCTTCCCTTTCAATTCTTCCAACTTGTTTGTTGCTTTGGATTTGTTATCTAATAATGTAATTGCAGATCATTTCCTTTGCTTTTGTTATGCCATGTATTGTTTTTCATTTGCCTAGTTAATAGATGATACCATTAGGTGTTTGCAAAGGGTTTAATTATTAGCTAATGGTATTTCCATCTTTTATGAATGTTCCACACAGGCCATGAGAGCTTGAGTAGAGAAGCTTGATATCATTTTGCATCTGCATGAATAGATAAAACTTCTACACCCTCTTGAGATATTTCAGTTTAGGGGTGGAGTCCACTGCATACTGATAATGGATGATTATCTTGATCCCTATTTATCTTCCTTATCCTGGTCGGATGCAAATGTGAAGCAAAGAACATCTTGGGTGCATAGTGAACCTGATCAACCAAATGTGCTGCTTCCAAATTCTCTAGAAGATTATCAAGATGAAGAAAAAAATCTACCTGCTGTAAGTGTGGTTAGTTTGAACCACAGTACGGGGTCCTTAGCAGCACAAGATACTTCATCTACTCTTCCTAGTGAGGAGTCAGAGTGTGTTGATAAGGGTTTGCTTTCTGTGGAGGCTGACCAGCAAATTGATTGTCTGAATTACTGTGGCAACTCATTGACAGGGATGATGCAATATAATACCGCTCTACATGCCCCAGGCACCTTGAATCTTTCTTCTCCAAAGCAGCTTCCACTTGTTGGTGATATGAGGTCATCCCTTTCATTTCCAGAGATCGGGACCATTGTACACAATGATGTTGAATCTTCTGAGTTTCGACGATCCCTCTCAGACTTGCAAACTTTGTCCCCCAATCCACATTTATTGTGGTCCTCACCATCTTATGGGGGTTTCTCTTCCATGTCTAATTTGATTGTGCACAGCGGATTGCAAAGCTCTCCTCTGCAAAGAAGAGATGTTGATGATGGAAACATTGACAGATATGTTGAATTTGATAAACTTCTACAACCTGAAGACTTGTCTGCATCGGTGACCACAAAGGTAGTCATATTCATTTAAGGTTTGTTTAAATGACTAATTCTAATCTTGGAACTTCATGAAGAAAAATCAGCTATCTCACAATTCAGCAAATAGATGTTTTGAAAAAAGCAAAGATTGAATGAATAGTTTTGCTAGGAGGATAAAATTTTGCAGTCTAATTTTTAATGTAATACATCAGGGGAAGCAGGAAATAGAAACTTGTCATTTATCTTCTTTAGCTGTGGAACCACAGACTGCAGCAACTGTTGGATTACCATCAATGTTGCAGGTGATCATACTAGTTTGAACTTTCTCTGATTTTTATTCATGATACCTAAATTCTTGTCTTTCCTTGTTGAACACAATAGGTTTTATCAAATGCGAGAACTGAGTAAAGGGAATGCCATGAATTTGTATATTAACTAGGCTTATCATTCTATTTACAGAGTGTATCAGCTACTCTGAATGGTGGATGCAATGGAATTGGAAAGCCTCGTGTAAGAGCACGCCGAGGGCAGGCCACTGATCCACACAGCATTGCAGAGAGGGTTAGTTCTTTTGCATCCTACTTACTCATCGAAGTTTCTTTTCATGCATTCTTCTCAAGTATTCATATCATTAGACTTCAAGGTTGGTATTGGATTTGTTTCTATAAACAAGATACTAACTGCAGCTTCGAAGAGAGAAAATTGCTGAGAGGATGAAGAATTTACAAGAACTTGTACCAAATTCCAATAAGGTAATCTTTTACCAGATACTTTGTAGCCTATCTGCATTGTAGCTGGAAATACATCCTTGTTTCAAATGCATACACTAGCACGGTTAAAAATTACCAACTAAATCATTCACTTGTGAATGTCAGACTGATAAGGCTTCTATGCTTGATGAGATCATAGAGTATGTCAAATTTCTTCAGCTGCAAGTCAAGGTAAGATTGAGCCTTTTTTTTTTTTTGGTCAAACAATCAAGAAGGTATATTGAGCTTGAAATAGAAGATTGCAGAAAACTTGTTTTTCAATTTTTTTTGTTTTAATCACTTTTCTCCTGAATGGTTAGACCAAACAATTCCTGGCATTGATACATTTAGCAGTCCTTTCCAGTCTTACAATCACCAACACACCCTAAACTTTGTGATTCTGGTAATGATTTGCAGGTACTGAGCATGAGCAGGCTGGGTGCAGCAGGAGCAGTTGTTCCTCTCATCACTGATGGTCAAACTGAGGGCTCAAATGGTTTATTGCTTTCACCTTTGGCTGGTCAAGAAGTTGATTTTTCACTTTCTCCTGATCAAATTGCCTTTGAACAAGAAGTTTTGAAACTGATGGAATCAGACATGACCACCGCAATGCAATATCTTCAAAGCAAAGGTCTCTGCCTCATGCCAATTGCCCTTGCCACTGCCATATCCAGTGGAAAACCATCTCCACCAGGCACTGCTTCTGAGGATAAAATGAAATTTGGCTTCAGCAGAAGTCTTGTTCACAAGAGCAACAGCAGCAGCAGCGGCAGCAACAGCAGTGGCAGCTTAAGTGGTGTTGGGACACAACACAAATCCTCTGATGTTAACGAGAAGAAATGAAACCGTATCCACTAAAAAATTGAACCTCAGAACTTCAACTCAATCTTCTTCTGCTGACAGAATAGTTTTAGGACCTTTGTTTAGCTTCCTATGAGGCTTTCCCTTTTTGTTCTTGTTTTCTTCCTCTTAATTCTCATACACAAAGCAATATGGTGCATTCATGTTTGCAGTTTATGTACATATTGCTCCCAGAGCAAGTGTCAGACAGTTAAGAGTGAGCATATTTACACTTTGAAGTAAATATATTTTTGGGAAAAAATTCTGTCTCCCTTCTGGCTCAAATTCAAAATTCTCATGGTCAGAAGTGAGATGTTAAGAGGATGAATGAATCTCAACCCACCAGTTTAATACACCAAACCCCACAACACCTGAACACGCGCCCAACCTGCCTCCT